CTTCACTTTCTTCCACTATCCCCCTCCCCCATTCTTCACTTTCATCATCCTATCTATAAACATCCCCCCCACAATACTTTTTTTACTTTCTTCTGCAACCCCCCCACCCAATTCTTTACTTTCATCCAGTCTCAAAACATTACCACCCCACCCCTCCCCTCGCTTATCACTTTCATCTGCGATCTCCCCAACAACACCCAACCCCCCCCCCCTTTTAACACCCACTTGTATGAGTATGGTGTCCACCACTCTTTCTGTTTATCTTTCTCCAGAGTAAGAAAGCATTGGAGGAGTGCAGTGGAGCAGCTATAGCTGATGCTGACACCTGTCTGCTTGTGTTTGTGTCCTCGCTGACTGGAGTTTGAGTTTGTGCTGTGAAACAGAGTTCGTACAGCGTTCTCAGAGAAAAACTATTTAAAGGCACTCGGAGGACAGCTGGAGTCTGCAGGAATCATGTATGGTGCAGGCTAACTGGCTACTTGTAATAATTACATAATTTCAGGTCATTAGCAACCACTTGGAACACCCTAGCAACCAACTAACCACCACCCAGAAACCACTTAGAACACTGTAGCAACCACTCAGCACACCCTAACAACCAGCTTGCAATGCCCTAGCAACCACTCTGAAAACCTTAGCAACTGCCTAGCTACAGTCTAACGGCCACTCAAAATACCCTAGCAACAGCTAAGCAACCACATAGCAACCCCTCAGAACACCTTAACACCCTAGCAACTGCCTCGCAACCACTCAGAATACCCTAGCAACGCTTTGGCAATTGCCTAGCAACCACTTAGAACACTTTAGCAACTGCCTTGCAAAAGTGTAGCAACCACTCAGAACTCGCTAACAACCATCTGGCAATGCCTTAGCAACCCCTCAAAAGACCCTAGCAACCACTAAGAACACCCTAGCAACTGCCTTTAAAAAAATCCCTTTTGTTTTTATTTTATTCTTTTCATGATGATTTCCTATTCTCACACACACAAACGCACGCACACACACGCACACACACACACACTCCACAGGTTAATCTGCTCAGGATCTCCTGCTGATGGTTCAGATGCTGCTGCTGATGGTGTTGCATCATGGTCTCTGTTTCCTGCAGATGTATTTTTGGCCTCTGTCTGCTGTGTTTTCACAAGATTTCTTTGATTCCTCCTCATGATTTGACCATCCTGACAGTGTAAAGGCCCTTCCACACTTAACATGATGCAAAGTGAAGCGAGAAGTGAACAGGATCATCACCAATTTAGCTAATAACTCATATCTTGCACAATAGGGTTGCCAAATCACTGGGCTACTTTTAAACATTTACTGTGATTCTATATATATATATATATATTATAGATATATATATATATATATATATATATATATATATATATATATATATATATATATATATATATATATATATATATATATATATTATAGATATAGCTATATTATAGATGCACACACAGCGCTGTTGATCCTGAAGTATATTTCAGCAGTTTCTATTCGAAAGCATCATCTTCATCATACACGCACTTCACTTAATTACGCTCAGTGTGAAGAGTCTTAAGATCTCAGGTTAATGTCCTCCAGGACTCTGATTAAGCTCACCTAAACAAGCTAATCAAACTATTCTAGACTGCGATAAAGCTACAGGCGTGTGTTTTGCTCAGGGCTGGATCTAACCTCTGCGGGAACGCGGAGCTTGTTGCCATATCCTCGCATTAAGAGCTCAGCGGGACACAAATCATGAAGCATTCAGCTGTTAAAGTCTGTGTGAAAATAAAGATTTTTTTATATTTTATTTTATTTATTTAGCTAGCACACATTGTTATTGTTTTGTTTTAAAGAATTGACAATATGTTTGTTTTAATGGGTAAATATTATACTCACAAATGCATTAGCCAATTTGATGAATTTTCTTTTGTGATTTCATTACTACTTTACAAAATGTTTACAATTAAAAAGTGTAAAAAATGTGAAGAACGGTGTAAATACCACAACTTGATCATTTTGCCATTTTTGTATCATTATTTATTTATTTTCTTTGTATTTTAATTTTCATTGTTTCACTATGTCATCCAATGTCATGGTTGTTAAGGTGATTGTATTGTTAAAACACAATTATATAAAAAATAAAAAAAAACTTAGCCACGCCTCTTTTACAGTTATGAGGGAATAATGCACAAATATAAAGCCCCGCCCCCTACTTAATATTCAGTCTGAAGTTCATCACCATGCTGAAATTAAAGTCTCCGCAACCCGGTTGGCATAAGACATATTTCACCCAACAATGAAATGTAATTTGCTCACTGAAGATGTTGGGGCCTTTTTTCCTCATTTACACAATACATTTTTGTTTAGTCTTTGGTTATTTACACAATGGCACCCGTTTATGAGATTATTACGTTTTACTATTTTAAGCTGGTTATTGTCACACACTGTTAACACACAACTTCATTTAAACCCCTTATAAAGTGATTTTGCATGCTCTAATCCTGCACATTCATTTATTATGCTTGTTTTCTAATTGTATGCGCATGTGGGCGTTTCCAGAAAAAATAAATACCAAAATGTGCATAAAAATAGGTCGATGGAAACATAGGTAATGTCTGATGAAAGCAGAAAGGGTTGTTCATTCACACTGTGAAAAGCAATGAGTTGAATTTACATTAAAAAAAAAAGTGAGTACACCCATTGCTTTTCAAGCTATTAGTTGACTTTAAAAATTGAGTAAACTCATTGACTTCAAGTTATTAAGTTAATGAATGTTTATTCATTCATTCATTTTCTTTTCAGCTTAGTCCCTTTATTAATCTGGGGTCACGGGTGACTTAGTCTACACAGACAGCGTGACCATTCTTCTCGAAACCCGCAGATGGCCATAGCGTGACCAAAGTATAAACCAGCTCACACGTCTTTCTCGCCTTTAGCCATTGCAACCAATAATTCCAATATAGGCTGGCGCGCGCAACAGGAAGCGGGAGACGCATCTCTACAGCAACCTCTCGCCACACAACCTCTCCAATGCGGCGCCTCGTGATATTTGCTAAGAAGTCATATCAATTATATTCATTATCATTTGACAGTAGCGGAGGAACGCCGCCAAATGTAGCGAAGTAAGAGTGATGCTGCGTTCACACCAGACGCCGAACACGTATCAAGCGCGAGTGATTTGCATGTTAAGTAAATACAAACGCACCAATAGACATCCTGCAGCGCGATACGTGCGAAAGGTGCGGCGCGAATGACGCGAATTGCGCGAATGTCACGATACGCGCGAATGGCGTGCCGCAATTTGAGCGTTTTGTGCACTTGACGCGCTTGGCGCACGTTTTGCGCTAATCACTCGAGTTCGAAAATCTGAGCTTCAGCGGACATTCGCGCCGAGTTAACCAATCAGACACCGACAAAAAGTCATCAAACTGGGCTGAGCTCAGTCAGAAGCACCGCTGAAAGCCTCCGTCATCCAGGTTCAGTTTCTGGAGGAGTTTATGAGCTCACAGAACTGGATGCACGTCTGAAAGAAACTAGTGGACTCAGAAACGTATCGACGCTGTTTTTCAGTCTTCATAAAACACATAAACACTGTTATTTTCTTCATACAATCTATGTTAGCCATTTAGTCACCGGGCAGAAAGAAGCCCTGCCCATCACGGGAATCCGCGTCTGTTGAATTGAATTTGAGTAAACTCAAATGTTCACGCGGCTATTTACACGCAAATAGCGCAATTTATCCGCGCATTCCGCGTCTGGTGTAAACACGGCATAATGATTTCTCTCTTATAATTTACTTGAGTAAGAGTAAAAGTGCAAATTTTTAAATGTTCTCAAAAAGTACCCAACAATTTTACTGAATTAAATGTAATGAAGTAAATGTAATTTGTTACTACCCACCTCTGCTGGCTATATAATTTGCGATCTCCAGAAGTGTATACAGGGCTACGTTTTCAGAATGAGCCTATGTTGGATGTTTATTTCATGCACATGATTCTCACAGCTGCTGTCTAAAAACAGGTTTGGTGGGAACTTTCCCAGTGAAACGTATCATCCATATCACTCTCAATACAGGCTTTTATTGACCAGAGTCTGGTTTTACACCTTTGAGAAGAAATGAGGGCTGACATTCGCTCTAGAGTTACCAACTTTCCCATAATTTGGGCCAAATTGATTTGTGCCTTACAGGAAAAATCTACCTTTTCTCTTTTTATTGAATTCTGTGCTGATTTATTCATACCACCGTGCTGATTAAGACTGGAGGATGATGATTCTATGAGGGAAACTGCTGTATTAAAGTCCCTGTAAAATCAAAATAGGCTATAATGCACAGCTAGTGTTTTCCGCTACCGATAAACTTCTGGTGAAATGTTAATGTGACTATTTTTTATTTCATACAGTTCCTTTTACAGCATCGATGTTGTAATGTCATTAAAATATAACTGGTTAAACATATTTAAGCATTCATTTAGTTGTTGAAGCCTAAAATAAGATGAAAAGCTGACAAATCAAACACTGTCTTGAGCAGCAGGCGAGCGCAGAAACTCCATTATAAATCCTGAAGTAAAATAAAAGTCCCTATAAAGACTACAGAACAATGTTATTTTAATGCATTGTTTCTTGTTAATTCTGAGACCCAATTTATATCGTAAATCATTATAATTGATTTTTTAAGGAAAACAGATCTAAAACGCTGCGATTTTGTAACAGCAGTTCATTGGAAGCGCTTGTACTGGTTACTAAAAATTAAAAGTCCTGCTGCATGTACACTATTAAAGGTGTTAGTGTGAATATGTTAGTCTTAATGTGCTTTAAAACAATAAGAAGCTACAAATATTCAAAGATTGGGTTTAACATAAGTAAGCTAACTCTGCCATCTAGAGAACAACCTAAAATACAGTATGAGGATTACTCGCATTAGTGAGAACTCAAATTAATCCAGCAGATGGCGGTAGAAGATACACAAGGAAAGCAAAATCCACAGCAGAAGAAGACCTGTGCGGAACAACAAGAAGAAGTTCATCACACACACGCGTGTTTTCAGTCAGTAAGCGGAGAGATATGGCGGGTCTGGAGCTGCTGTCGGATCAGGGTTACCGACTTGACGGACGGAAAGCGACCGAGCTGCGGAAGGTGCAGGCCCGCATGAGTGTGTTCGCGCAGGCCGACGGGTCTGCTTATCTGGAGCAGGGCAACACTAAAGCTCTGGCCGTGGTGTATGGGCCACATGAGGTGTGTGTGTGTGATGTCTTGGGTATGATAACGTTACAGGTATTACAATGATATGGTGAATTATGAGGACATGCTAATAATAAAATGCGACACACATAAATCTCTTTTTTTATTGAATAACGTTACAAGAATAATAAAATCACTGCATTGAAGAAAAAATACAATAACAAAAAATAATGAGAGAGAGAAATAAAATACACAGCATCAATCATTAAGAAAAAAGATTGTCATAAGCTTTAAGAAACTTATTATTATTAATAAGCTTAAGAGATTCAATATTGTACGAAATTTCAACAAGGAAAGTATTAAAAATGGGTATTGTTTTTATAAACTTATTTTTGTGTATAAAAAATTTTATAGTGCAACACAAAAAACACACATAAATCTCACAGACATCATCAGAATGTATTATGACGTATTTAACCGATAACTGTATAACCCTGCTGAAAAATCCAGCTTAAACCAGCCTAGGATGGTTGGCTGGATTTAGCTGGTCAACCAAGCTGGTTTTAGAGGGGTTTCGGCCACTTCCAGCCATTTCCAGCCTGGTCTTAGCTAGGGCTGCTCGATTTTGGAAAAAATGTTTTGGTCAAAATTGTAATCACGATTATTCAAAACGATTATCAGTTGAAGTCAAAATTATTAGCACTTTATCCTAGGCTGGTTCAAGCTGGATTTTTCAGCAGGACTATATATGAAACTGGGATTATTTTTTCTGTCAGTGGTCAGAATGTCAGTGGTATCTCATTTGTTCTTGTTTTAATTTATTTAAAAAATAATAACAACACATTTCCGTATGTTTTTAAATATTAGTGGATTCAATATAATAATATAATTCTTAATAAGTTAAACTGTCTAATATAATTAAAATTTATTAATTAAGTCTATTAAAATGGTGCTGTGAATAATAGACAATAATTATTACAAAACACTAAGGCCAGAATCTCTGCGGTAACTTTGTCCAATGTGTCGGTTATGTGTAATATGCAATATTTTATCATCGTTTAACTCAGGGATGTCAAACTCAAATCCTGGAGGGCCGAAGCCCTGCACAGTTTAGTTCCAACCCTGCTCCAACACACTTACCTGTAGGGTTCAAACAAGCCTGAAGGACTCGATTAGTTTGATCAGGTGTGTTTAATTAGGGTTGGAACTAAACTGTGCAGAGCTACGGCCCTCCAGGAACTGAGTTTGACACCTGTGGTTTAACTAAATAACATGTTGGAGTTCATCTTTGTCCCTGTAGATTCGAGGCTCTCGCAGTAAATCCTTGCATGATCGCGCCATCATCAACTGTCAGTACAGCATGGCCACGTTCAGCACGGCGGAGAGGAAGAGACGTCCACACGGAGACCGGAAGTCCAGCGAGATGAGCCTCCACCTCAAACAGACCTTTGAGGCTGCGGTGCTCACTGAGCTCTACCCACGCTCACAGATCGACATCTACGTCAAGGTACATGGACTTCTTTACGTTCATGCCGTTTATCATCCATCCACTCACCTGCCCAATTTTGCATCCACCAATCTCTGCATCAGTCGTTGATCTATTCTTAAATGCCCCCATGCATCTGTGCTTTCATTCATCCATCACCGCAAATCATATTGTATATTGATACTGAGTGCACTTTGGATGTTTTTAAAAACTCATACCAAATCATCCACACATGCATCCATCTGTGCATCCATCCATGCATGAGTCAATTCACATATTTGTACACATCTTAGCATCCAGTGATCCATGCATGAATTGATCAATCCATCCATCATCATTCAAGCACATCCGTCCAAGCCTTCATCTGTTCATCCACTCATCCATCTGCTCAGTTGGTCATCTGTCCAACCGTACATCTTCCCTGGATTCTATCTGCAAATTCATCCACCCACCCACACCACTATCAATCCATGCATTTAATCAGCCATCAATCCATGCATCCACCCAGTTATCCATCCCTTCATTCATCCGCCCAACAGTCCATCCACCCACCCAACAATCCATTCATGCATCCATCCACCCAACAGTCCATCGACCCACCCAACAATCTATTCATGCATCCATCCACCCAACAGTCGATCCAACCATTCATCCACCCGACTGTCCATGCATCCACATAAATATCCATCCATCCATGTATCCGCCCCACTCTCAATCAACTCATCCACCCACCCAACTATCCATTCACCCATCCAACTCCATTCATGCACCCACCCAACTATACATCCATCCATCTATCCATCCAACTATAAATCCAACCACCCACTCAACTCCATCCATGGACCCACCCAACTATACATCAAACATGCATCCATCTATCTTTGCATTCATCCACCCAACTACCCATCCATCCAACCAACCATCCATTCATCCATGCACCCAACTAGCCATCCATCTACCCAACGCTATTCATGCACCCACCCAACTATCCATCTATCCATGCAACTATCCATTCATCCACGCACCCACCCAACTATCCATCCTTCTACCCAACGCTATTCATGCACCCACCCATCTATACATCCATCCATGCAACTATCCATCCATCCACGCACCCACCCAACTATCCATCCATCCATCTACCCAACGCTATTCATGCACCCACCCAACTATACATCCATCCATCTATCCATCCATCCAACTATCAATCCAACCACCCCCTCAACTCCATCCATGGACCCACCCAACTATCCATCATACATGCATCCATCTATCTTTGCATTCATCCACCCAACTACCCATCCATCCAACCATCCATCCATCCATGCACCCAACTATCCATCCTTCTACCCAACGCTATTCATGCACCCACCCAACTATCCATCCATCCATGCAACTATCCATCCATCCACGCACCCACCCAACTATCTATCCATCCACCCACCGACTCCATCCAACTATCCATCCGTCCTCCACCCAATTACCCAGCCATCCACCCACAATCCATCAATCCATCCATCCATGCATGCATATTGGCTTTAAATTATTGTGATGATTTTTTTCTGTTGAACGTAAGAGCCAGATCAAACTATAACTCATATTATTACAGTAGCAGTACATGACAAGATTCCAAAGACACTTTAAATACTATTACAATTCACATTACATGTAACTGACTACAACAGCACCATGTCTTTGATTTGTTCTGCGCTGTAGATCCTGCAGGCGGACGGTGGAAACTACAGCGCGTGTGTCAATGCCGCTACATTGGCTCTAGTGGACGCTGGGATCCCCATGCGCGATTATGTGTGTGCGTGCAGCGCTGGGTTTGTGGAGGACACCCCGCTGGCAGATCTGTGTCATGCAGAGGAGAGCGGTGGAGGAACAGCGCTGGCTCTGGCTTTGCTGCCTCGTAGTGGAAATATTGCCCTGTTGCAAATGGACGCCCGGCTCCATCAGGACCACCTGGACACACTGATGGAGGCAGCCATGACGGCGTGCAAAGAGTTCAGTAAAGTTCTAGACAGTGTCGTACGGCAGCATCTAGAGGAGGTTTCAGATCTGACCAGAGATTGAGATGGAAATTTAATGGACATCTATGGAGTCAGATTAGTGTCAAAAATAATACATTTACAAAATATAATTTGCTTAAATATGATTCAGAAATACACAAATCCAATTCATTTGGTGAAAATATTTCTGATATTTACTGGTGAATTCATGAACTGTGTGTTGTGTTTATGAATAGTGTTTTGATTTTATGAATTGGATTATGTAAATGTGAATTGTAAATTAATTATTTTTGAGACTGATCTGACTCCATAGGAAATGCTCTTATTCATTTATTATTCATTTAATCTCTGAAGCATGCGCTTGGACTGAAAAAAAAAAAACAGATTTGATCGACATGTATGGAGTTAGATCAGTCTCAGAAATAACACATTTACAAAATATAATTCGCAAGTTTAAATATAATTAAAAAATACACAAATCCAGTTCATTTGGCGAAAATATTTATGATTTTTACTTGTGAATCTATAAACTGTGTGTTGTATTTATGAATTGTGTTTTGAATTTACGAACTTAATTTTATAAATGTGAATTGCGCTATGCATGTATGAATATCATTTCATAAATGTATTATTTTTGAGACTGATCTGACTCCATAGGAAATGCTTTAGTCATTTATTCTTCATTTTAGTGTCTGAAGCATGCGCTTGGACTGAAAAACACACAGAATTGATCGACACAGAAAAAAATAAGTTTATATATCAGCTTATCCAGAAGAAATGCCACCTAAAAAGCGCTGAACACATTTTGTTATAATAATGTCCTCTGTTGTGAGAGAGTTGTAATAAAACAATGCTATGTTTTTAACAAATGAACACTTTTCCTTTTGTGTTTTATCAAATTAACCATGATTTAATCAGATTTAGTACTCCTAATAAACAGTGGGGATCGAAAGTTTGGGCGCCCCAGGTAAAAATTTGAATTAATGTGCATAAAGAAGCCACGACAAGATGGAAAAATCTCCAAAAGGCTTTAAATTACAGATTAGACATTTTTTTAATGTGTCAAAAAAGTTAAACTTTATTTCCATCATTTACACTTTCAAAATAACAGAAAATAAAAAAAAAAACATTCTGGGAACGTTCTCTGTAGGTTTTTTTTTTTTTTTTGGTAACCAAAATATAACCTTCCCAGAACGTTCTCTGCAGGCTATTTTCAATGGTTAATTTATTACCTACAGAGAACCTTCCCAGAACATTCCCTCTAGGTTTTATTTAGGTTTTTTTCATAACCTTGAGAGAACCTTCCCAGAACGTTCATTGTAGGTTAATTTTGGGATCTATTTTATAACCAAAAGAGAACCTTCTCAGAACGTTTTTTTGTTGATTATAATATCTTGAACTGCCGCCTTTGGCAAGTATCACAGCTTGTAAATGCTTTTTGTACAATTTTAAGTTTACAGTTTACATTTCAGATATAACTTTGTTTCAAATGTTACACTCTAAAAAAACGTTGAGTTATTTATTTAACCCAATAATTAAGTTAAACATATTTGGTGCTTTGTTGGGTTATTTTAACCTTTATTATGTTATTTATTAGTAACTCAACCAGTTGGGTTAAATAGTATGTGCTTTGTTGGGTTATTTTTAACCTTTATTATGTTATTTAATAGTAACTCAACCAGTTGGGTTAAATAGTATGTACTTTGTTGGGTTATTTATATCATAACTCAACCAGTTGGGTTAGAATTTTTAATTTCAACAGTCAACTGATTTAACTGACACAGAACAGCTGTATTAATATGTGCGCTTAATGTTGTTTTTGCATTCTAAAGTTTATTTAAGCTCTTAACGCAATAATATTGTTGTCTTTAGCACCCAGCGGAGACATTTATTTATTTACACTATCATAATTATAAAATTAATAGTAGTAATAGTAATAGAGTAATACCAGAATGAAAAAAAAACATGTATTTAAAATAACCCAATGCATTGAGTTAAAATACCCCATAGTTGGGTTTAATGTTGGGGTATTTTTAACCCAACTATTTTATCAGAGTATGAAAAATGCACAAATACAATCCCAATACAGTAAAAAGAATTAAATTGGAAAACACATGTAGGGGTATATACATCATCACAAATTAAAGGAAAATATTACATAATTTACAAATTTTACAAGTTCTCCCCTGTAAAATGATGACGTGATGCTGGGTTATGGCGTCATTCACAGAAAGTATGTAGGCTATCAATAAGGAAGTTAAAGCGCCGGTAGTTCCCCTTTACTATATGAGAACTACGAGTGGATCCAACGTGTGCTAACAAGTTCGTGTCTGGACATTTTGGCTGATTTCTGGTCGCCGATGTGGAATTTGAAGCACCGTTTTCTTACCGGAACGAGTTAAAAACTGAACAGTAGTGAAAAACAACAAAACGAAAAGAGAGGATGGATGTTACTCACCTGACGGAGGACGAAATGGCCGATATAAAGAAGGAAGTGAGTAAAACGAAACAAAACGCGTTAATGAAATCGAGAATCTATTAATCAGATAATGCCTTCGTAAAAGTAGAAGTGAAAGCGCTGAGGGGCACTGACCACAAACCTGATCGATGCAACCAAACGTTTATCAGGTGTAAAAACCTGAAAGCAAATGATTTCCAAATGAGTTCGTCAAGTTTTTATACTCCGACTTCACTTTATTAGAGTGTGAACTGCTTTATGAAGTACCTAAGACGAGCATATTAATCATATTGGTCTACGAGATTAAATAAACCCACATTAAAACATACTACAGTGGACTAACTTAATTCTGGCAAATATTAGTGTTTATGAACAATGCTAAAGTAGGCTAACGTTACTTGAATTAATCTGTTGTGGTAATTTTGTTGTTGTTATGGTAATACAACAGTATAAACATGTCACAATACTGTAATACATACAACTATACAGTTTACACATAATAGTAGCTTACAATACTAATGTAACACTAATAACACACTGCTAACGTATACTACAGTATTTATAACAGCTTATGAGTTCAATATTGATAAGTAAAATTCATTTATAAAGAGTTCACTAAAGAGTTTAATACACTTAACTATAGTATAGTTCAAAAACATTACTTTTCCAGCATATGTTTTACGCAGCGGATGCCCTTCCAGTACTGGGAAGTATATATATATATATATATATATATATATATATATATATATATATATATATATATATATATATATATATATTTTTTTTTTTTTTCCTTCAGCTTAGTCTCTATTTCAGAGGTCGCCACACAGGTTTCACGCAGCGGATGTCCTTCCAGTATTGGGAAACTTGTAATATATATATATATATATATATATATATATATATATATATATATATATATATATATATATATATATATATATATATATATATATATATATATACACAGTTGAAGTCAGAATTATTAGCCCCCTTAATTATTAGCGCCCCTGTTTATTTTTTTTCCCAATTTCTGTTTAATGAAGGGAAGATTGTTTCATCACATTTCTAAACATAATAGTTTTAAAAACTTATTTCTAATAACGAATTTATTTTCTCTTTGATGACAGTAAATAATATTTTAATTAATATTTTAATATTTCAAGACACTTCTATACAGCTTAAAGTGAAATTTAAAGGCTTAATTGGGTTGATGTGGTGAATTTTAAGGTAAAGGTAATTTTGTCCCAAAATGTTTTTTAAAAAATTAATAACTGTTTTTAATCTTGCCAAAATAAAATAAATAAGACTTTCTCTAGAAGAAAAAATATTATCAGACATACTGTGAAAATTTCCTTGCTCTGTTAAACATCATTTGGGAAATATTTAAAAAAATAAAATAAAATCAAAAGGTGGCTAATAATTCTGACTTATATATGTGTGTGTGTATTCTTTTTAAATACTATATATAACTATTGCACTTCAATACACTACAGTTTACAAATTTATACATACACTGCTAACGTATACTACTGTATTTATTACAGATTATAAGTTTAATGTTGATAAGCAGCATTCATTACAAAGAGTTTGCTATACCGTTTAATATACGGTTCAAAAACACTATTTACTAAATATATTTATTTATATAAATTTAATTAATTCATTTTCCTTCGGCTTAGTCTCTATTTCAGAGGTCACCACAGTGGAATGAACCGCCAACTATACTATGGATACCCTTCCAGCCCCAACCCAGTACTGGGAAACTATTTATATACATTTATTTTATATTATATTATATATATATATCTGCCACTATATATATATATATATATATATATATATATATAGTTCAATACACTTAACTATAGTATGGTTCAAAAACACTATTTGCTATATATATATTTATATTATTTTACTATATGTATTATAGTAAAATATATTATATTAAACATAAAAAAGAATTATCTTTTATTAACTTAGCAGATATTTATTTAGTAGGCAGACGCTTTTAATAAACACTACAATTCAACAGAGAGTAGCAGTATATAAATGATATGTAAAGCACAAGCCTACAAGTCAAATTTATTCATTCATTCATTCATTCATTCATTCATTCATTTATTTATTTATTTATTTATTTATTTATTTATTTATCTTTGTTGAATAAGAGAAATCACACTAATCTCTGATCAAATCCTTGACACATGCCCAATAATTTTTGCCTGTCTTAAATGTTCCCTGCTTCAAAAATACTGATATATAATAGCCTCCCTGCAAAGCTCCCTGAAAAACTATGAGCTATTGGGCTTAGTGTTTTAAATGCAAAGTGTGGTCATTTCACATGTTTAATTGATTTAGTAATATAGGTTCATTGATAAATAAAATGTATTTATCAATTATTTTTAAAAGCATCTTCACTTTACAGCATTTTTACACAAGTGCCTAAAACTTTGAACAGCTTTGCTGGTAGGTTTTTGGAAGCATCTTCAAGATGAGCCAGAGTTCTTCTTAACCGAGTTGTCCATCAGACAGACTGGATGATGATCAGATCATCTCTGAAAGTAAACTCACTGTTGAAGTACAATTAATGATCAAAATAATGTCTAACTATTTCAATCTGCCACTAGCCTAAGACTTTTGCACAGTATTGTCAGTGTGTAATCATTAGTTCTTGTCTGTCATCGTAGGCCATAGAAAGGTTGCGACCGTACCTGGTGGATAAGATCATCGCCGACCGTCACTTTGATTATCTGCGCTCGAAGAAGATCCTGACCAGGGAAGACACGGAGGAGATCAGCTGCAGGACCACCAGAGGGAAACGCACCAGCAAACTGCTGGACATCCTGGCAGAAAACCCTCGCGGCCTGGACATGCTCATCGAGTCCATCAAATGGGGCCGAACGCTCAACTTTATCATCGCCAGGATCACAGACGAGGTGCAGCGGGTCAAAAACGAGCGCCTGGAGGCTTTAAAAGGTAACTCTTTACAGGGTTAAAAAGCTTTTCTTATTCCGCTGACACCTGCTTGCAGCTTGTGTTGACAAGTCCACTAGAGGGCGCCATCTACATTTTTGCAAATCTCAAATATGTGACTGAGCTATTTTTTCTCATACATGTCATTTATGTGAGAAGCTGATCAGCTTGTTGGGCATAATATATTACTGACCCATACACCTCCTCCCTAAACTCAACGATAGTGTTTTTAGATGCAAACGAGTAGAGAAAAGAGCATTGCTGGAACATTCTTTTACCATGGTTTTACATTGCTTATTTGTTTTTACCTGGTTTCTAAAACAGTCCAAAGTCTGCCTACACGCCCCAAGTATGACACTGTACGAGGTAAGCTACAGAGCAAACTGACCACTCTGGAAAAGCCGTCTATATTGAGATATTTTTGTGGCATTTATCTATTAACAACCATGCGAAATCGATGCTATCGTTGATAATGTGTCCCTGTAAATCTTTATGCTGTAAATCTTTAAAAGGAACAAAAGTCGGCAGCATCACACCACCATGTAGTGTTCATTTTACCTAGAAAATGCTGGCAAGCACATGCAAAGGCACTTTTTGTGGTTTCCCAAAATATAGCCCTAGCCACATATTCACAATAAACACATATTGGGTGATATGTTTAGGATAAAGTACACCCAGGAGGTTGTTATCACAGAATACATCCCAAGAGGCTTTATTGACAGTCTGACGTGAAGCCGAGCACTGCTGTATAACACTAAAGGGTTTATTCTGCGAAAACAACCATCCTGGATTTACTTTATCCTGCTTATTACATTGCTACTTGCCCCAAAATAGACACATAACATTGTTCTGAGCTGTAATATTTTATTAATTCGTTAATTAAACGCAAAGCGGACAAAAATGAAAACAGCAGATGGAGTATACACTAACCTGCGCATTATTCAGACACTAGATGGCGGCAAACAGTCAAAAACACAAAGCTGACAGAAACTAAAACAGCTGATGGAGTATACACTAACCTGCGCATTATTTAGACACTAGATGGCGCCAAACAGTCAAAAACACAAAGCTGACAGAAACTAAAACAGCTGATGGAGTATACACTAACCTGCGCATTATTCAGACACTAGATGGCGGCAAACAGTCAAAAACACAAAGCTGACAGAAACTAAAACAGCTGATGGAGTATACACTAACCTGCGCATTATTTAGACACTAGATGAAGACAAACAGTCAAAAACACAAAGCTGACACAAACTAAAACAGCTGATGGAGTATACACTAACCTGCGCATTATTTAGACACTAGATGAAGACAAACAGTCAAAAACACAAAGCTGACACAAACTAAAACAGCTGATGGAGTATACACTAACCTGCGCATTATTTAGACACTAGATGGCGCCAAACAGTCAAAAACACAAAGCTGACAGAAACTAAAACAGCTGATGGAGTATACACTAACCTGCGCATTATTCAGACACTAGATGGCGGCAAACAGTCAAAAACACAAAGCTGACAGAAACTAAAACAGCTGATGGAGTATACACTAACCTGCGCATTATTTAGACACTAGATGAAGACAAACAGTCAAAAACACAAAGCTGACACAAACTAAAACAGCTGATGGAGTATACACTAACCTGCGCATTATTTAGACACTAGATGAAGACAAACAGTCAAAAACACAAAGCTGACACAAACTAAAACAGCTGATGGAGTATACACTAACCTGCGCATTATTTAGACACTAGATGGCGCCAAACAGTCAAAAACACAAAGCTGACAGAAACTAAAACAGCTGATGGAGTATACACTAACCTGCGCATTATTCAGACACTAGATGGCGGCAAACAGTCAAAAACACAAAGCTGACAGAAACTAAAACAGCTAGTGGAGTATACACTAACCTGCGCATTATTCAGACACAAGATGGCCCCAAACAGTCAAAAACACAAAGCTGACAGAAACTAAACCAGCTGATGGAGTATACACTAACCTGTGCATTATTTAGACACTAGATGGCGGCAAACAGTCAAAAACACAAAGCTGACACAAACTAAAACAGCTGATGGAGTATACACTAACCTGCGCATTATTTAGACACTAGATGGCGCCAAACAGTCAAGAACGCAAAGCCGAGAGAAACAAAACTGGCTGAATGGAGAATATACTAACCTACATATGATTTATTCACAAGACAACACTAAACAGTCAAGAACTGTTGCGTAATACACAAGCAGATACATTCTCAGTTCCTGGATGAGATTGTGTTATTTAGCGGTTGTTATCTGAGAATAACACACCCTGGAATATCACAACTGACCAATCACAATCGAGTATTCCAGACAGCAGTGTAATAAATATTGTTATCGTGATATGTGATGACTTGTATAATGATTTCAGATTTTTTTTTGTCATATTGCCCAGCCCTAGTTTCCATTCAGTTTATTTATGTATTTCATATTTTTACTTATTACAGCGGGGTCCAACTCGGCTTACCCGACCACAAAAGGAGCAACCAATGACTTCTCCAAAATGGACTCGGACTATGATAAATACTCCACTATGTGTTTACATCCTGAAGGCGAAGCCAGTTCCTCGTCCTCTGTGGCGACGGGATCCTTTAACCTGCGCTACAGCTCCACTCGGGGGAACGAGGCTCTAATGGTGAGTGGAGGTTCGGGTACTATGAACGTCTCCAGCACATCATCGATCCTTCCTAAACCAGGAGACCCCGGAGCTCCAGCCCTGCCCGAGGAGATGGAAAACGACGAGCAAGACATGGACGGCGGCGTATGTAAAAGTGCTGGAAGTAGCGGAGATGCTAACTTCCAGCCGCTACGATCGCGCTCTTTGTCTCCGTAAACGTCATAGAGAAAACACCATCAGGGTGTGAATAGGCATTGGACGATAACCGGTTTCAGAGTTTACCGCGGTTTGGAAAAGTCTGTTTTAAAAACTGCTAAAATTTGATGTTATATCTGGTCAGCCCGCGATTCAGCAAACTATTTATTATAGTTTATAAGTTTACTAAGGCAGCACGGTGGCGCAGTGGGTAGCATTCTCGCCTCACAGCAAGAAGGTCTCTGGTTCGAGCCTTGGCTGGATCAGTTGGCATTTCTGTGTGGAGTTTGCATGTTCTCCCCATGTTCGTGTGGGTTTCCTCCGGGTGCTCCGGTTTCCCCCACTGTCCAAACACATTCGCTATAGGGGAATTGGGTAGGCTAAATTGTCCGTAGTGTGTTTGTGTGAATGAGAGTTTATGGGTGTTTCCCAGTGATGGGTTGCAGCTGGAAGGGCATCCGCTGCATAAAACATATGCTGGACAAGTTGGCGGTTCATTCCACTGTGGTGACCCTTAATAAAGGGTCAAAGCCGAAAAGAAAATGAATGAATGAATAATCCTTAGTGTAGTTCAGGGATGTCAAACTCAATTCCTGGAGGGCCGAAGCCCTGCACAGTTTAGTTCCAACCCTGCTCCAACACACTTACCTGTAGGTTTCAAACAAGCCTGAAGGACTCGATTAGTTTGATCAGGTGTGTTTAATTAGGGTTGGGACTAAACTGTGCAGAGCTGCGGCCCTCCAGGAACTGAGTTTGACACCTGTGGTGTAGTATGATAGTATTTTTTTACTATTAATTACTATAGTATTTCATTCATGTGAGTTGCAACATTCTGTAAGTGACCAATCTTAACCATTACCTATATAGTTAAATATTTAAAAAGCAAAAATATTACTCAAATAAAATCACTGAATTTCTCTTTCAGATGATGAAGTGATGAATGTTTCAGGCGGCCCTGTTTTGTCAGGTGTATTCAGTGGTGGAAAGAGTATACTGAAAAATCATACTCAACTAAAAGTACCACTACTTGCCTAAAAATGTAGTGTAAGTAGAGTAAAAGTATCTGATGTAAATATTACTCAAAGTATAAGTAAAAAGTAGCCCTTTTAAAAGTACTCATGAGTAGTGAATAGTGAGCATTACGCTGTAAAAAGCTGATACATTTATACGTAATTTGTAGATGTGTGTACACGTAACATTCTGTAGTGCCATTCTGTAGTGTCCAGCAGGCACAAAACGTCATGGGACGTTAATATTAGGTTAGATTTAGGTTGTGATGTCAAGTGACCAAAATTCAATGTCTAGCCAACGTCTAAAGATAACGTTATTTTGATGTCTAATAACAACGTTAAATGAGGTTGATATTTGGTTGAATTTAGGTTGTGTTAGAAAGTGACCAAAATCCAACGTCGAGCCAACATCTTAAACCAACATCATATTGACGTCTAATACTGATATTTGTTCATTAGGGATGGCAACCAAAATCCAACATCTGATAGACGTCATAGTGATAACGTTCACACAACTTCAAGCTGTGACATCATTAGACGTTGATATTTGGTTGGGTTTCGGTTGGACATTGACGTTGGTCTGACATTGAGTTCTGACGTCAACCCGATTTTCATTTTAACTTAATTCCCCTTTATTTGTATAGCGCTTTTACAATGTAAATTGTGTCAAAGTAGCTTTACATAGAAGATCATAGTAAATACCAAACAAAATGCAGCGTCCCCACGACATCCGCTTGTTAAGTGGTGACGTGTTTGTGACGTATGTAATACTGTTTCCGTGTCCAAGTCGCCACTCATCTGAGTGGAGAAATCATTCGTTTATGATCACGTTTTATTCCTGTCAAACATTAAAGTTAATTTTACATAAAGTCATAGTGTACACAACAATCTCTGGACTTGCTGCATAACAAATACCAAAACTTTTAACAATTTATAAAAAATAATCACTTTCTGGCCATTGGATATTAGGCATGGACATATATATATTACGATCGTGATTTTCGAAAGCCTTAAATCGCTTTGTAAACGTTTATTATTACCATTTCATGAGTCTCCCCATTCAGTTGAATAGAGCGATTGGACCCGGAAGCCGCTTCGCGTGACGTCACACTTAATAAGCGGATTGGGGTACAACGTCAATGTGACGTCATGTTGATGTCTTGTGCTTGCTGGGTGTTTAAGGCCATTTCGGTCCCCATACAGTAAACATCCGTCATCTTCTCATCAGTGACATCATCTAAACAGTCTCTGGGTCAACGCGTGTTAACGTTTTGGACATTTTCTCGGACACTTTTAATGCTTTCAAACAGTTTGCTGCATTTATAAATCGCACATGTGTTGAGGTAGTTCATCATGATGTGATTTACCTTCTATGTGTGATTTGATTGGACTCACAGGACTGATTATTCTAATCCTCATAGACAAGAAAAAATAAAGTATTGACTGCAGAACGAGAGAAAGTAGAGTAAAAGTACAGATGCAGCGCTAAACATGTACTCAAGTGAGAGTAAAATACACATTTTTAAAACTACAATTCCTGAGAAAAAGTAATTAATTACAGTAATTTGAGTATTTGCAGTTAGTTGCTTTACACCACTGTGTGTATTCATCATTTATCTTCATTAATTGATATGATAACATGATATAATCTTACGGAAATTATTGAAAGACATATTTTTGATGCCTCGTGGTTTATTCATATTTTTTATATGTATTTTTAAAATGGTCACATCTCTTAAAATGTACATTTAAAAGAAAAACACTGTATTTTGAAGGTTTAAGAGTTTAAAACATGCTTTATGCGGGTTAAATGTGCTTAATTAATCATTATAAATCATTATAAATAACAGTTTCTTCTTTCGTCGTGTCTTTTGTTGTGTGTAAATTTGGGAATTAAGTATTCTTATAGTAAACAGAAAGATCTGTAAGTGTCTGATATTGTTTCTGTGATGCTGAAGTTGTTGTGGTTACGCAGAGTAGTGGTTGAGTTGTGGGTGGATTAATCCATTTGAGCTCAGCACACCATGCTGAGTACTCTGAGTAATAGCAGAAGTAAAATCAGTGCAGGGATGAGTAATTCTTATGTTGCTAGCTGCTGAAGCTGTTTTAGGTGTACAATAATATTCCTGAGCTCATGCTCCTCTTGAATAATTAGTATTGTCAATGGGGTGTATGCACACAGACTTGTAGTTTCAGTCAGCCAGCCCCAGAGCTTCCCAATAATATCCAGCTGCAGACCCACACGTTGCAGGCACACACAGTCTAGGCCAGGGGTGTCCAAACTCAGTCCTGGGGGGCCGGTGTCCTACAATAATAATAATAATAATAATAATAATAATAATAATGCATTTAAAATTCTTTTTCCAGGACTATTTGGACATAAAGAATAGCATGGAAATACTAGTTAAAGTAAATACTGTAGTGTTTTTGAACCATGCTATTGTAAAGTACTGTTGTGGTGATACTATAGTTCCTATGGTGATAAAACAAGTATAGTAATATGACACAATACTGTGGTTTTACAACTGTATGCTATATTATACTAAAGTGTGTATTATACTACCAGAGTGGGATCAGCGACTAGACCAGGGGTGTCAAACTGAATTACTGGAGGGCCGAAGCTCTGCACAGTTTAGTTCCAACCCTGCTCCAACACACTTACCTGTAGGTTTTAAACAAGCCTGAAGGACTCGATTAGTTTGATCTGGTGTGTTTAATTAGGGTTGGAACTAAACTGTGCAGAGCTGCGGCCCTCCAGGAACTGAGTTTGACACCCGTGGACTAGACCCTTCCTGGAGAGCTACCTTCCGGCACATTTCAGTTGCAACCCTGACCAAACACACCTGTTTGTAATTATCAAGTGCTGCTTTAGGTACTATTAATTGGTTCAGGTGTGTTTGATAAGGTTTGGGTCTGAATTCTGCAGGAAGGCAGCTCTCCAGGAACAGGGTTGGTGACCCCTGGACTTTTGTCAGGTAGTGTATACAAAATTCTAAGACAACAGAAGGGTTAATACACAGTAAAGTGTATCCACACACACACACACATATATATATATATATATATATATATATATATATATATATTTATTTATTTATTTATTTATTTATTTATTTATTTTTTTAGATGTTGTTCAATCACACAGACCTGCACTCATAAAACGACGCCTTCTTTTGTCCTTTACCTGTGTTTTGTAACTTAAATTTCTTTTATGTTCGATCAATTTAAATCCACCTTAAAGGGTCATGACACCCCCTCTTTCGGTTAAAGTCTACTTCAGAATTTTTTCAAAAGATGCATGATTAATGGGCGTGGAGCTCCGCGAGCATAGGGCAGGAGTGGGCGTGGCCAGCAGGGGAGAAGGGGAGCGAATAACTGCTGTTGTCAGTTAGCTCACAAAATGAGACACAAAGAGGAGACGCATGAGTTTATAGTTTACAAAGTTAAAATGCAAAGAAATGAACAGTGATTTAATGCCCTGCTACATTTGTTATTCGTAATTTCATATACAGACAACCACAATTTATATCATTATAAAGATAATCGTGTTCATGCAAACACTATAAATGAGGACTCTACCTCAATCCCCGTATCCAGCAGACTCAGTGCAGCAGGTCTCCTGACCCGTCTATTTTAACCATTAACCCTGCTGGTAATCTGGAGGATTTAGGCAAACACAGCAGCATGGCGATGTGTCTGAATGTGAACGAACTCCTGATAAAATACAGCGTCCCCCATTCTCCAATTCTCGTGCTGCTCTCCCGACAAAAATGCTAGCAGCACAAACACAGCTTTGCTGTATGATCGGCCCTGACAAGATCGCGGAGGAAAGCATGCAACAAACCCCGTGGATGATGGAAACAAACGCATATGAGCCTTCATAAACGGCTAAATACTGTGCCGTGGTTTCCGTGTCTCTCAGCTCGGGCTTGACACTGGCAGGTCTGGCAGGTCTCATGAATAATTCAGCAGCCGGCTCTTCTCATAGGATAAGAAAACTCCGCTATGAATAATAATGAGAAACCGACGCTTCATCATTGCACTTGCAGTTCTGCACTACGTCGCCGATTTTGATCCCGCCCCAAAAATCATTTTAAACCCGGAAGCTGAAATTAGCTGACAAAAGCTCAAAATTATCCAGTTTTCCCCACAATTAAAGCTGACAGGTGCTAACATCGTCTTAACTGATGCTCAACACACACACATCTGCTAATATAAAAAAAAAAGTTCTCCGGGGTGTCCTGAACCTTTAAAAGTGAGCTTTTGTTGGGACAACAGGAAGGAATTGTGTGGAACCCAGCATTATTTACAGTGTCACAGCAAAGCCCTGCTAAACAATCTAACTTAAATCAGTCTAGGCGGGTTTTAGCTGGTCAACCAGCCTGCTTTTAGAGGGGTTTTGGCCATTTCCAGGCTGGTTCCCAGCCATTTCCAGCCTGATCTTAGCTGGTCAGAATTGAAAATGACCAGCTAAAACCAGCTTCCAACCTGGCTAGGCTTGTCAAGCTAGTTTTAGCTGGTCACCTCCCAGCCTGGAAATGGCTGGAAACCAGCATAGAAATGGCCAAAACCCCTCTAAAACCAGGCTGGTCGACCAGCTAAAACCCGCCAACCAGCCTAGGCTGGTTTAAGCAGTTTTTTTTTTCGGTAGGGAGAGCATAGAATCACCAAGAGGCGACGCTCTAGTGCAATTTGGGAAACAGCCACTAGATGGCGCAACAGTCATTTTGCTATGAAAACTCCAATTGAACAACGGTATAAGTCTGTAATAAACTATTAAAAGTGCTGATGATTGTGATGGTAAGTGTTGTATTGTTGTCTTTCAGGTTGTATATCAGCTTTAAAGCGGTTTTTAAATAAATAAATAAAAAACAAAGCAGCTCCTCGCCATCATGACAGCAATAAGATCCAATGGACAGCCGATCGCTTTCACTCCAAAATGGCGGAATGGCAGGGCTGTTGCTGGGCGCTGCTGCTGCAATGGAAGGCTCTATTGAGTGTCACCTCTTGCTCTTTGGTCACAGTATAAAAAAATGCAGGGTTCCACATAATATACCTTCATATTGTTCCTACACAAATTAATTAAGCTCACATTTAAGGCAAATTTCAATGGATTGAACATGAAAGAATTGTTACAAAGCAAAGCAAAGGAGTTGTGCTGCTTCAAGTGGTTTGAACCAGGGGCGCAACGGCACATTTACTGATGGGTATGCGGATTCAACTTTTGCAGGCCCCCCTTCAATCCAACTATATTTTAAAACATTTAAGTGATAAAATGTGGAAAATATTTCCATCAATAAATTAAAGATATTTTTTCATAAAGATATCAATATGCTTCATACTATTTCAGTTGTGTTCAGAACTGCGAAACTGTATTTTTTGAAGTACTAAAAGGTATAATTACATTAAGCATGTTAAGTCGCAAAGAAATGCATCTCATACCACCCCAAATTTCTTCTCAGTTTAATTTTCCCTCACTAAATGATTATAGCACCTTGGCTAGCCTTGCTTTTGGACTTTTTGTACTACATTTGTCTAAACAAAATGATAGACATGGGAGTCCTACAGGGCAAAAGAACATTGTAATTACTTCTCACATGCATACTGTGAGAAGGGTTAGGTCTGTCTTTGCTTGAACAATTGACTGAAACTGCTAAAAGTGAAATAAAAAAGACTGTCAAATGTTTAGTGTAAAAAAAACAGAAACAAACTGTGTGAAATGTTCTATTTAATTGAAATGTTATAACTTTGTTTGTAGCTACAATTAAAATAGTTTTGAGCTAAGAAGTTATCAAAAGGCCTGATGAATCAATATGATACATAATAAATTCATAAAAATATGTATATGGTATGAAAAATGGGGGGAGGGGTGGAATAATTTTTAAATAAAATAAAATAAAATAAAAAAATTTAATAAAATACAATATTATACGCGTATAAAATGCTAAATAAACATTTTTAACAATATATATATATATTATTTGAAACTTTTAATATGAATAATTTCAAAAATAGTTTTGGCACAATGGCGCCCCCCATGTGTGGCGCCCCTATGCGCCGCATATACTGCATACCCCATTTTTGCGCCACTGGTTTGAACCAGCAACAAAAGTCAGAGTTTAGTGAATGCGGCACAACCTGCTCTGAAAGGTGTTATCAGCAGTGCACACTTCATCTGATGAAGTAAAACAATGTGACTTTATCTGATAAACTTCTGTCAGCTCTGGCTCCACCAGTCTGAAAAGTGGAAGACAGCAGCTTCAGTTCCTCAAATGTGGACACGCTGCATGTGTGTGTGTGTGTGTGAGAGAGTCAGTGTGATTTTCTGACTGTCAGCGAGTGGCACAATGTCTGACCGAGCGTCACACACTCATGAAAGCGCAACACTTCTGGACCCGGAGTGTGTGGAAAGCTTAAGGAGAAAACTCAAGTATTTCTTCATGAGTCCGTGTCAGAAATACAGCACTAGAGGACGGATACCATGGAAGATGATGCTGCAGATACTCAAGATTGTCATTATTACCGTTCAGGTGTGTGTGATTTAATACACTCTGTTTCATTTCACTGAACTGCTGAAAAATCCAGCTTAAACCAGCCTAGGCTGGTTGGCTGGTTTTAGCTGGTCGACCAGGCTGGTTTTAGAGGGGTTTTGGCCACTTCCAGGCTGGTTTCCAGCCATTTCCAGCCTGGTCTTAGCTGGTCAGGCTGGGAGATGACCAGCTAAAACCAGCTTGACCAGCCTAGCCAGGCTGGGAGTCCAGCCAAAACCAGCTATATCCAGCTTAAAGCAGGCTGGTCAAGCTGGTTTTAGCTGGATTAAGCTGGTCATTTTTCAGCCTGACCAGCTAAGACCAGGCTGGAAATGGCTGGAAACCAGCCTGGAAGTGGCCAAAACCCCTCTAAAACCAGCCTGGTCGACCAGCTAAAACCAGCCAACCCGCCTAGGCTGGTTTAAGCTGGATTTTTCAGCAGGGCATGTTTATTTGATTTGATTTAAAGTGGTTCTCAAACTGTGGTACGTGTACCACTAGTAGTACGCGGGCTACCTTCTAGTGGTACGCGGAGGAATGAAATATGTCATATACATGCTACATATAATTCAAAATTTATTAAAAATGATGTATATAATATGCTATATATTATATAGGCTATATTTCTGAGGTAATCTGCCAGGTTTTTTTAACTGTGCAGAGTTTTAGCTGCTTTACTGGTCCAACTACGCTACGGTATTTCAATGCTGCTCATTTTGGTGGTACTTGGAAAGACAATGTTTTTCTAAGGTGGTACTTGATAGAAAAAAGTTTGAGAACCGCTGATTTAAAGGGTTAGTTCACTCAAAAACAAACATTCTGTTATTATTTACTAATCCTCCACTTGTTATGAGTTTCTTCTGTCGAACACAAAAGAAGATGTTTTAAAGAATGCTGTAGACCTTTTTTGTACTATAGAAGTCAATGGTTACAGGTTTCAAACATTCTTCAAAATATCTTCTGTTGTTTTCAACAAATGAAAGATTTGAAACAAGTGGAGGATTAGTGAATAATAACAGAATGTTAGTTTTTGGGTGAACTCTCCCTTTAAATCAAATTAAATATACAGTGAAATAAAATCCTTTATGAGTTACAAACCTTTACGAGTCATTTTGATTTAGTAGATATTTTAGAAGATATTTTGAAGAATGTTAGAAAACGATAACCATTGACATTCAGTAGAAAAAAAAAGCACTGAAAGTCAATGGTTACAGATTTCCAACATTCTTCAAAATATCTTCTTTTGTGTTCAGCAGAAGAAAAAATCTGGTAAAGGATTTCAGTTCACGGTATATTTGATTTTATTTAAAGGGTTAGTTCACTCAAAAACAAACATTCTGCTATAATCCTCCACTTGTTATGAGTTTCTTCTGTCAAACACAAAAGAAGATGTTTTAAAAAATGCTGTAAATCTTTTTTTTTTTTACTATGGAGGGCAATGGTTACAGGTTTCAAACATTCTTCCAAATATCTTCTTTTGTTTCCAAAATAAGTGGAGGATTAGTAAATAATAACAATGTTCGTTTTTTTGGGTGAACTCTCCCTTTAAATCAAATTAAATATACAGTGAAATAAAATCCTTTATGAGTTACAAACCTTTACGAGTCATTTTGATTTAGTAGATATTTTAGAAGATATTTTGAAGAATGTTAGAAAACGATAACCATTGACATTCAGTAGAAAAAAAAGCACTGAAAGTCAATGGTTACAGATTTCCAACATTCTTCAAAATATCTTCTTTTGTGTTCAGCAGAAGAAAAAATCTGGTAAAGGATTTCAGTTCACGGTATATTTGATTTTATTTAAAGGGTTAGTTCACTCAAAAACAAACATTCTGCTATAATCCTCCACTTGTTATGAGTTTCTTCTGTCAAACACAAAAGAAGATGTTTTAAAAAATGCTGTAAATCTTTTTTTTTTTTTACTATGGAGGACAATGGTTACAGGTTTCAAACATTCTTCAAAATATCTTCTTTTGTTTCCAAAATAAGTGGAGGATTAGTAAATAATAACAGAATGTTCGTTTTTTTGGGTGAACTCTCCCTTTAAATCAAATTAAATATACAGTGAAATGAAATCCTTTATGAGTTACAAACCTTTACGAGATATTTTGATTTAGTAGATATTTTAGAAGATATTTTGAAGAATGTTAGAAAACGATAACTATTGACATTCAGTAGAAAAAAACAAACACTGAAAGTCAATGGTTACAGATTTCCAACATTCTTCAAAATATCTTCTTTTGTGTTCTGCAGAAGAAAAAAATCTGGTAAAGGATTTCAGTTCACGGTATATTTGATTTTATTTAAATGGATTCACCCAAAAATGAACCTTCTGTTATTATTTACTAATCTTCTACTTGTTTAAACCTTTAAGAGATGCTTTCTTCTGTTGAACACAAAAGAAGATGTTTTGAAGAATGTTGCAAATCTTTGACCATTTATTTGCGTTTATTTTACTAGGGATTCCATTTGATTAGATTTAAAGTGCTAGTTCATCCAAAAATGAAAATTCTGTCACCATTTACTCTCCTGTTTATTAAAAGCTTCATGAGTTTCTTCCTTCTGTTGAACACACAAGAAGATGTTTTGAAAAATGCTGGAAACCTGTAACTATTTACTTTAATAGGTTTTTTTTTTCGTTACTGGAAGTCACTGGTTACCGGTTTCTAACATTCTTCAAAATACCTTCTAAAGTATATTCTGTATTAAAATATCTCATAAAGGTTTGGAAATTAAGGATTTCATTAAACTGTATATTTGATTTGATTTAAAGCAATAGTTCACCCAAAAATGAACATTCTGTTATTATTTACTAATCATCCACTTGTTTCAAACCTTTATGGGTTTCTTTCTTCTGTTGAACACAACATAAGATGTTTTGAAGAATGCTGTAAACCTGTAACCATTTATTTCCTTAGTGTTTGTTGTTCATCTATGGAAATCAATGGTTACCTGTTTCTAACATTCTTCAAAATGTCTTCTTTTGTGTTCAGCAGAAGAAAAAAACTCGTAAAGGATTTCACTTCACTGTATATTTGATCTTATTTAAAGGGATAGTTCACCCAAAAATGAACATTTTGTAATCTTCCACTTTTTTTAAACCTTTAAGAGTTTTTTCTGTCGAAAACAAAAGAAGATGTTTTAAAGAATGCTGTAAACCTTTTTTTTTTTTGTACTATGGAAGTCAATGGTTACCGGTTTCGAGCATTCTTAAAAATATCTTCTTTTGTGTTCAACAAGAATAAAACTTGTAAATATGTAACTTGTAAAGGATTTAATTTCATGATATATTTGATTTAGTTTAAAGGGTTAGTTCAGGCAAAAGTTAACATTTTGTCATTATTCACTAATCCTCCACTCGTTTCAAACCTTTATGGGTTTCTTTTTTTCTGCTGAACACAAAAGAAGATGTTTTGAAGAATGCTGTTAATTTTTTTTTTTTTGTACCATGAAAGTCAATAGTTACCGGTTTCTATCATTATTCGAAATATCTTCTTTTGTGCTCAACAGAAGAAAAAAAAAAAACTTGTAAAGGTTTGGAACTTGTAAAGGATTTCATTTCTCTGTATATTTGATTTAACTTAAAGGGTTAGTCCACTCAAAAATGAATATTCTCCTATTATTATTTACTAATCCACCACTTGTTTCAAACATTTGGGAGTTTCTTCTGTTAAACACAAAAGAAGATGTTTTAAAGAATGCTGTAAACTTGTAAACCTTTGTTTATTTGTTTCATCTATGGAAGTCAATGGTTACCGGTTTCTAACATTCTTCAAAATATCTACTTTTGTGTTCAACAGAAGAAACTTGGAAAAGGTTTGTAACTTGTAAAGGATTTCAGTTCGCTGTATTTAAAGGGAAAGTTCACGCAAAAATGAAACGTCTGTCATCATTTAATCACCTGTTTATTAGGAGTTTCTTTCTTTTGTTGAACACAAAAGATGTTTTGAAGAATGCCGGAAACCTGTAACCATTGACTTCCATAGCATTTGTTTTTCCATCTATGAAAGACAAAAGTTACCAGTTCCTAACATTATTCAAAATATCTTCTTTTGTGTTCAACAGAAGAAAGAAAGGTTTGGAACTTGTAAAGGATTTCACAGAATTTTATCTAAAGGGATAGTTCACCCATAAATGAACATTCTGTCACCTTTCACTCACCTGTGTATTGAAACCTTTATGAGTCTCTTTCTTCCGTTGAACACAAAAAAAGATATTCTGAAGAATGCTGGAAACATGTAGCTATTTACTTTTATAGTGTTTGTTTTTCATCTATTGAAGTCAATGGTTACCGGTTTCTAACATTGTTCAAAATATCATCTTTTTTTTATGTTTGAAAGAAGAAAGAAACTCGTAAAAGGTTTGGAACTTGTAAAGGAATTAATTTAGCTGTATATTTGATGTTATTTAAAGGGATAGTTCACTCAAAAATAAATATTCTATTATTATTCACTAATTCTCAACTTGTTTCAAACATTTACGAGTTTCTTTCTTCTGTTGAACGCAAAAGAAGATGTTTTGAAGAATGCTGGAAACCTGTAACCATTGACTTCCACAGTGTTTAGTATTCATCTACGTAAGTCAAAAGCTACCGGTTCCTAACATTCTTCAAAATATCTTCTTTTGTGCTCAACAGAAGAAAGAACCTTGTAAATTATTTGATTTCACTGTATGGGCCAGTTTGCATGTTCTCCCGTGTTGGCGTGGGTTTCCTCCGGGTGCTCCGGTTTCCCCCACAGCCCAAACACATGCGCTACAGGGGAATTGATGAACTAAATTGGATGTAGTGTATCAGTGTGTGTGAATGTTAGAGTGTACGGGTGTTTCCCAGTACTGGGTTGCAGGTGGAAGGGCATCTTCTGTGTAAAACAAATGCTGGATAAGTTGGCGGTTCATTCCGCTGTGGTGAGCCCTGATGAATAGAGGGATTAAGCTGAAGGAAAATGAATAAGTGAATGTTGTAACTTGATTTTGTTTGTATTTTCCTCCTCAGCTGGTCTCTTTTGGATTGAGCAACGAGATGATGGTGACGTTCAAAGAGGAAAATCTCATCGCCTTCAAGCACTTCTTTCTGAAAAACTACAAGGACAGCAATAAACATTACGCCTTGTACACAAAACATGAAGTTCACGACCACATCCTCTACACCATCAGACGGGTAAATCCTCTGCATTACACAGCAACACTTAAATAATGGCTGACACTGTAAATTCCCACTTTTAAGACATTTACAGGTTATTAGCACTTATAAAGTAGGATCTTATTCATTCATTTTCTTGTCAGCTTAGTTCCTTTATTAATCCGAGGTCGCCACAGCGGAATGAACCGCCAACTTTTCCAGCACATTTTTACGCAGCGGATACCCTTCCAGGCGCAAACCATCTTTGGGGGAGATCCACACACACTCATACACTACTGACAATTTGGCCAACCCAATTCACCTGTACCGCATGTGTTTGGACTGTGGGGGAAACCGGAGCACCCGGAGGAATCCTACGCAGGGAGAACATGCAAACTCCACACAGAAACTCCTATTAAGCCGAGGCTCGAACTAGCGACCTTCTTGCTGTGAAGTGACAGCACTACCCACTGCGCCACCAGGATCTTATTCTTCATCCCTAATCGACAACTACTTTCATTCATTCATTTTCCTTCGGCTTAGATTCTTATTCAACAGGGGTCGCTCAGAGGAATGAACCACCAACTTATCCAGCATATGTTTTACACAGCGGATGCCCCTCCAGCTGCAATCCAGTACTGGCAAACACCCATACACACTCATCCACACACACACACTCATACACAACGGCCAATTCCCCCTATAGCGCACGTGTTTGGACTGATGGGGAGCTCCCGGAGGAAACCCACACCAACACGGGCAGAACATGCAAAACAGAAATGCCAACTGACCCACCCGGAACTCGAACCAGCGACCTTCTTGCTGTGAGACCACAGTGCTAACCACTGAGCCATGCCCCATGCTCTCCCATAAGCAGAACATTGACTGTTTGTTTGAGGCAGAAGTCAAAGTTAATCATTAATATGTGTTCCTCATACTGCAAATCCATAATGGAATTGTATGTGTGCTTGCGTACATGTATACACACGAACATGTAAAGCCACATAAAGAAAACCACATGCAGTCAGAGGTGTTTTAAACTTAAACATGTGCATATATCACGCTTCACATGATATGTTTGGGCATTAGCTGTTGTTGTATCTATGAGGTAATAGCGTAAGTGAAGTTTCACAAACTAATTTCGAGAGGAGCACGTGATATGATTGACCGCAGCTGGTCCCTCATCTACAATCATTAGTTAGCCAATCACAGAGTAATCCAAACTCACTTTAAATAGCCTAGCTAGAACTACTCCCTTACCTTCGTTTTCCGAAGAAACCCCCCATCCGCCCCTTCTCCCCCTTTCCTCCTTAACCACAGCGGAGCTCTCGAGAACCGCCTGATCTCGTACTCCCTTTACATGCTCAATCCAGCAGGCGGGAGCCCTGGGCTCAATTATACCCGAGCTCAGGGTTCTCTCCCGGGACAGCATGCCAAACCTGCTAACTGTTGTCCAACGTTATTGAGCTCTATTTTATGGGTTGTTTACATTTACATCAATTACATTTATAGTCATTCATTCAATCATTCATTTTCCTTCAGCTTAGTTCCTTATTCATCAGGGGTCGTCACATCGGAATGAACCACCAACTATTCCAGCATATTCCAGCACAACGGATGCCCTTCTAGCTGCAACCCAGTACTGGGAAACAGCCACACGCTCAAACACTATGGCCAATTTAGTTAATCAATTTATCTATAGCGCATGTGTTTGGACAGTGGGGGAAACCGGAGCTCTCGGAGGAAACCCACACCAACACAGGGAGAACATGCAAACTCCACACAGAAATCCCAACTGACCCGGCCGGGACTCGAAACAGTGGCCTTCTTGCTGTGTGGCGACAGTGTTAACCACCGAGCCACTCGTTTATAGTCATTTGAAATCAAATGTATTTATTCAAATTTGAATTCAAACTTCTATTTCTTCGGATCATTCGTTTCTAATAGTTGTGTTTGTTTGTTTGTTTGTTTGTTGGTTTCTTGTCAGTATCTACAGCTACAAAACCTGACGATTGGCAATCAAGCGCTGGAGATGATCGATGGTCTGGCGACTCCTCTGTCTCTCTGTCAGCAGTTGTATCGACATGCGCGCGTCGTGCCGTCTAATGAGACGTTTGAAATCGATCCACATGTAGAGACAGGTACCGCAAACCTTCATCCAGGGGCGGACTGGGACTAAAAATCAGCCCTGGCAGTGTAGCCACATCAGCCCACATTACCACTCTGACACAGCCCCATCCACGGACACGCACATAAGATATATAAATGTTGATTTCAATAGTTTATTAATCCTTTACTAACTCATTCTGAAGGATCCTAAAAACCCTCAACTACTCTTAAATACAAATGGTTTGTAAATAATGCGATACTTAATTTAGTAATGAAAAATAAATCATTTACTAAGTATGAACATTCAATTATTAGCACATTATGTAGGTGCTTATAAGTCAAGAATACAGCATTTATAGCTGCAGTTATAAACTGCTTACTAACGTTTATTAATGTAAATTAACTATGTATTAACTATGTATTATTAATGTAAATTAACTATGTATTAACTATGTATTATTAATGTAAATTAACTACGTATTAACTATGTATTATTAATGTAAATTAACTATGTATTAACTATGTATTATTAATGTAAATTAACTACGTATTAACTATGTATTATTAATGTAAATTAACTACGTATTAACTATGTATTATTAATGTAAATTAACTATGTATTAACTATGTATTATTAATGTAAATTAACTATGTATTAACTATCTATTATTAATGTAAATTAACTATGTATTAACTATGTATTATTAATGTAAATTAACTATGTATTAACTATCTATTATTAATGTAAATTAACTATGTATTAACTATGTATTATTAATGTAAATTAACTATGTATTAACTATCTATTATTAATGTAAATTAACTATGTATTAACTATGTATTATTAATGTAAATTAACTATGTATTAACTATCTATTATTAATGTAAATTAACTATGTATTAACTATCTATTATTAATGTAAATTAACTATGTATTAACTATCTATTATTAATGTAAATTAACTATGTATTAACTATCTATTATTAATGTAAATTAACTATGTATTAACTATCTATTATTAATGTAAATTAACTATGTATTAACTATCTATTATTAATGTAAATTAACTATGTATTAACTATCTATTATTAATGTAAATTAACTATGTATTAACTATGTATTATTAATGTAAATTAACTATGTATTAACTATCTATTATTAATGTAAATTAACTATGTATTAACTATGTATTATTAATGTAAATTAACTATGTATTAACTATGTATTATTAATGTAAATTAACTATGTATTAACTATCTATTATTAATGTAAATTAACTATGTATTAACTATCTATTATTAATGTAAATTAACTATGTATTAACTATGTATTATTAATGTAAATTAACTATGTATTAACTATCTATTATTAATGTAAATTAACTATGTATTAACTATCTATTATTAATGTAAATTAACTATGTATTAACTATCTATTATTAATGTAAATTAACTATGTATTAACTATCTATTATTAATGTAAATTAACTATGTATTAACTATCTATTATTAATGTAAATTAACTATGTATTAACTATGTATTATTAATGTAAATTAACTATGTATTAACTATGTATTATTAATGTAAATTAAATGTAAGTTAACGCTTAAAAGATAATGAATTCACTATTTGCTAATGCTTAATAAATGATTTATAGTGTGTAGTTATTATAAAGTGTTACCAAATTATATTGTTATTACTATCATCATCATTGTCATCATCATCATTATATTCAAATCTTGCAAGAGATAAAAGCTGCCTGCATCTAAAAACAATACATACAAATTTTTTATTTTTATTTTTAAATAGCTCACCGGCCCACATTTTTAAAAATGGTCCAGCCCTTCTGGCAGAATTGCCGGATGGCTAATCCGCCTCTGCCTTCATCATAATACAGACGGAAAGATTACAAGAATGATACAAATGTTATGCACATCCCAGTGGGCAACTTGATCAAGGGGCATCAGAGCAAGAAGGTTGCTGGTTCGAATCCTGGCTGGGCCAGTTGACATTTCTGTGTGGAGTTCTCCAGATCTCCCCAAGCTCAAACTCCCCTCTCGCCATGCAAACGGGAGGGAGCCCCGGACTCGAGGATCTTATGAGCTCAGGGCTCTGAGCATGCCAAACAAGCTTTATAATCAATCATCAGTGTGAGCTTTAAAACATGATTTTTTTTTTTGTACGCAGAATTGTTAAAGCATATACAACAAGTCATTTTTTGTGTGCGCAAAAGCATGATCCTTTGCACTCAAAATGGTTCATGTGTGCACAACAAGCCACTTTGCGCTCATAAAACATGATACTTTGTGTGCAGAATTGATATTGTATGCAGCAAGTTATCTTTAATTTAGGTTAATGTCAATTTGATTTTGTTTTGACATCAAGGTGCACACTGGGATAGCAGACGCATTCTGCAAAATCTAAATATGATCTGCGGTTCTCCTAAATAATGAATCATTCTGATTTATATCTCACATTTTGATCATGCATTTTGTTATATTTCTTTGCAGAGTGTGTTTCTGTGTATCCCCTTTCTCCCATCACGACTGACAGTCTGGAAAACTCCCTGAACTTGACTTTAGATTTTCAAAGGTGTGTGTGTGTGCGTTACAGCCTCCTCTGATCATGCATTCATCAGTTTACACGATCTGTTTACTGTGTGATAAGAACAACATTGTTGTGATTCTCTTGCAGGTTGTTAGCGGTAAACATTTATCTGAAGATCAAGGCTATCAACATTCAGACGGTTCGCCATCAAGAGTTACCAGACTGCTACGACTTCAGCATTAATGTGAGCTAGCAGTAAACTCAGAACGACGTCGTGTCTTTCTCCATTTCCCTAAATTATCCAGGATTGGCTAATAGAGGGTTGTCACAAATGAAAGTTATGCATTTCCTCCATTGGCTAATATACAGCTGAGGTCAGAATTTTTAAGCCTCCGTTATTTTTTTGCCCAATTTATGTTTAGCGGAGAGCAGATTTCTACATTTCTAATTATAATAGTTTTAATAACTCATCTCTAATAACTGATTTATTTTATCTTTGCCATGATGACAGTAAATAATATTAGACTAGATATTCTTCAAGACACTTCTATACAGCTTAAAGTGACATTTAAAGGCTTAACTAGGGTAATTAGGGTAACTAGGCAGGTTAGGGTAATGGTTTGTTCTGTAGACTATCGAAAAACATTTAGATTAAAGGGGCTATTAATTTTGACCATAAATGGTGTTTAAAAAATTAAGAACTGCTTTTATTCTAGCCAAAATAAAACAAATAAGACTTTCTCCAGAAGAAAAAATATTATCAGAAACACTGTGAAAATTTCCTGAATCTGTTAAATATCATTTGGAAAATATTTTAAAAAATAACTCTGTGGGTTTGTCACTATACGCATGTTTATCCGTCATGTTGGCTTTAGTATTTGTGTGTGTGTGTGAGTGTGTGTACATGTTTTTGTGACCTATCAGGACACAAATCTGAATAATGCCATTATAACACAGGTATGACACAGGTATTATATGACAAAAAGCTCATAAATCACAGGGAAGGAGTTTTTTTCAGAGAGTAAAACTGCACACAGTCTCCTGTGAGGGTTGGTTTAGGTATAGGGTGGGGTTAGGACGATCAAAAATAAAGTAATTACAGTTGAAACACAATAGAAACTATTGTAATGTCCCCACAACTCACAAAAAACAAATGTGTGTGTGAGCCATTTTTTTAAGATTTATTTTTGGCCTTTTTTTTTTTTTTAGATAGGACAGTATTGAGACAGGAAGCGAAGTAGGAGAGAGAGAAATGTCCTCAAGCTGGGATTCGAACTCGGGACGCCCTGACGTGCTACTGCACCATATGTCAGTGCGCTAATTACTAGGCCAGTGGTTCTTAAACTGTGGTACATGTACCACTAGTGGCAGGGGCGCAACTACACATTTACTGAGGGGTATGCGGGTTCAAATTTTGTGTGATCCCTCTTATTTTATATTAATTAATTAATAATAAATGAAGACAAATTTTCAGATTAATCTTATAACTTTTGACATTATGTATGATTTGACAGTTTATTTTGTTAAAAATAAATTCAAATCTAAACAGTACATCTACATGAACACTTTCGGCTGTGGGACTGCATGTTATTGTGTTAAATGATTTTGAATTAAACAATAACAATGTTATATTCGTTTAAAATGCAAAATAATGTTTTTTAACAAAACATATTTATTTATTTTTATTATTTGAAACTTTTAATAAGGATAATTTTAAAAATAGTTTTGGCACAACGGCGCCCCCCCGTGTGTGGCGCCCCTATGCGCCGCATATACTGCAATCCCCCTTGTTGCGCCACTGACTAGTGGTACGCGGGCTTCCTTCTAGTGGTACACGGAGGAATGAAATATGTCATGTACATGCTACATATATTTCAAAATTTATTGAAATTGATGTATGTAATATGCCATATAGCCTATATTTCTGAGGTAATCAGCCACGTTTTTTATCTGTGCAGAGTTGTAGCTGCTTTACTGGGCCTACTACGCTACTGTATTTCAATACTGCTCATTTTGGTGGTACTTGGAGAAACAATTTTTTTCTGAAGTGATACTTGATGAAAAAAGTGTGAGAACCACTGAGCTAGGCCATTGTGCTGTTATGTCAGCCATTTGGTTCCTGGTAATTATGAATTGTTTGGTCACAAGATTAAACATTCATTATTTCAGTGTCATCAATAAGAGAATGACTGGGATTCCCTTCTAGTTTCCATGGGTTTGTCTCATGACGCAAAATATGAGTCACATGACCCAAATCATCAAACGTAATGACAAACAAGAGAACTTGGCTAAAAACAATCCATTATTTATTTATTTTTAACAAGAATGAACAGCTTTATACAGTTGAAGTCAGAATTATTAGCCCTCCTGTATATTTCCCCCCAATTTCTGTTTTATCGAGAGCAGATTTTCTTCAACACGTTTCTAATCATAATAGTTTTAATAACTCATCTCTAATAACCGATTTATTTTATCTTTGTCATGATGACAGCACATAATATTACACTAGATATTCTTCAAGACACTTCTATACAGCTTAAAGTGACATGTAAAGGCTTCACTAATTAGGGTAAAGTTAGGGTAATTAGTAGGGATGGCTGACGTGAAACTGACGTTTCGACACAGTGTCGAGATCCCGAAGCGCAAGTGTTTCGAAACACTGCACCGAAGCATGATCCGAAACACCCAGGTCACGTGACTAAAGTGTTTCGAAACACTTGGTCACGTGACAAAAGCGATTCAAAGCATCGATCATTTCAGAGGCGTTTCAAGACCCGGAGAATCTGCATTTGACTTGCATGATCTTATTTATGTCTCTGTCTAATATGGCCTAGTGGACCGTGCGTGTGCACTATGGTACTTCATGCCAAAATTGTTTTGGGTTCGAATCTCGACTAGTACAAATACTCCAAAATCCAGATTTTATGTATTTTAATCATGTTACTGTTTTATGGTGTAGCCTAGATAGGATACAGCTGTGGATATGCCATCAATTTAGCATCATTTTTGTAACATTGTAAAACAATAATTCATAGTTTTACAGTACTGTGATGGGTTTAGGTTTTGGATAGACGTTAATAAAATACAATGGGAAATTTAATTAATAATATAAATAATTATTGTTAACTTCTGGCCACAACTGTATCTGATCTAGTAACAACCCTGTTTTATGAACAAAACAATACAAATTTATTTACAAGGTGTTCATTCGTATGTCAGAGCAATGTTGAAACAAAACGATACAATAACAAAGCATTACCAACTGGTAATAAAGCATTTCAAAACAATTGTGTCAGCCTGGATTCGAACCCATTGTTCCCGCATGGTAGTCACAAACTCTAACCGCTCAACTAAACCATTTGATGATTCCAGGCTACAAAGTGGGGTTTGATACCTCAGTTTGCTCAACTGTTCTTCGCTGAAGCTGTTTCAGTGAAATACAAATACAATGACCACTAGGTGTCACCGTAGAGTGGTGTTTCGAAACGTTTCGAAGCTTCGACACATTTGCTTCGATAGTTTCAGTGTTTCACGAAGCCTCGTTTTGCCCACCACTAGTAATTAGGCAAGTCATTGTATAACAGTGTCAGGGTTGGTGAGGGGAAATGGGGAAAAAGGAGCGAGGACTCAAGTGCAGGAATAATGGGAATTTATTAAATCATAAAAATAAAATAAAATGCAAAATAAACTACCCCGAGGGGGAAAACATTAACAAAACAAATGCATACACATACAAAAAGGACTGGGCAGGCTGGCAAGGATGAGGACTGGAAACACACCAGGACAAGACTTCAAACAACAACATGTGATGACGAACTGGCACAGGACAGCAAATGTGAGGGGTATATAAACTGTAGAAAATTAACACACAAACAGGTGAACACAATTAACTAATAATGGGTTAAAAAGGAGGGTGGGACAAGACAATAGACGGGAGAGCGCATGACACAGAGAGACAACACAAGCCATGCGCTCACTCAACAGGACAAGAACATGCAGCCAATGAGAGAACTCATTAACCGCATGTTCATGACAACAAACACAACACTGAAGCACACGACAAAAGCACGTGACCACAATGTAAACACCGAGCCACGTGCTTTGAAAAGAGACGCAAGACACGAGCACACGATAGATAAACACCTTACCGTGCGCTCACACATAAGCAACACGCATGCTTCATCTCAGCGCCAACCAAAACTGAAACCAACTAGACGGAGGCGAGAATAAAGCAGCGCGATGCTGACAGAACAAACACAAACACGAGTACAAGAGCGCGCGCGTCTGAGGGACGCAGAGCGTGCGCGGCCACATCAAGCGGCAGCGCGCACACTCTGCGTACACCCACGACGGCGCGCGCGCACACAGAGACAGAAACAGGACCAGACATGAGTAGTGTCAGAGTCTGCCACCAAAACAAGAATTTACAAGACCAAAGTGGCAGAACCCTGACAAACAGTGGTTGTTTAAGGCGGCTAATAATATTGACCTTAAAATGGGTTTAAATAAATTAAGAACTGCTTTTATTCTAGCCTAAATAAAACAAATAAGACTTTCTCCAGAAGAAAAAACATTATAGGAAATACTGTGAAGAATTCCTGAATCTGCTCAACATCAGTTGGAAAATATTTGGGCAGAAATCACTGTAGGTAAATCATTTTGACTTCAGCTGTACTTAATAACCCCTCATTTGCTCACAGTTTTGCTTTAGTTTTGTTATAGTTATAGTTTCCTAAAGTAACCCTGATCACTGGTTCATGTCTGTTTGATTTTGGCTGATCTGAAATCTCCAGGAACAGAATTAGATATTCCTGCAATGTTTGGTTTAGTTTAAGATTATACATAAAGGTCATGCTTTCCTTAAAATATAAACAGAGAGAACTGAGTTTAGAGATGGAATCAAGTGTGCCGCAAGCCTGCGTTTGAGTGAAGGTCTCGGCCGTTAGATCGCCCCCTGGGGGCTGGCTGCAGTACAAGTCATAAAGCCCGCCTCCTCCGTGTTAATGAAGGAGACTTGAGCCCAAATAAAAAAATTAATTACACTTGCAATAAAATGTCCCGAAAGATGGTTCTGGTGGATTAAGGCACTGGTTATTGTGCTGAAATAGGTGCAGATCTTCATTTTTGTAAACAGTTTGTTTTTAGCAGTAATTTAATGCTGGGCGTGTCATCGTGATTGACAGCTGTGATTGACAGTTTCTCAAAGCAGCGCGTCTGAGCTTCGGCAGGAGACTGAAGTGTTATTATTCGATTTCTGTGTTATTTTACCATGACAAAATGAGTTCAGCAGTAAACTACAGTTTCTGACATACATGATCCTGGTGGAACACTGTTTATTCGCTAAGGTCAGGGCTTTTTTCGGGCTTATTTGTTTGCTGATACACGCCTAGCCACCCAGATAGCAAAATACACTCGGGCCAGTTCGGCTAGATTCTCGCCTGCCAGAGACTTACCCCTCAGAGCTCAGACTGACTACCTCTGCTGGACCTACTCCGGATGCCTGGACTCACTGCCCGATTCCAGCCCGAGTCAATCGAGCCAGATGCGGCGGCCGAGCGAGCCATCGCTGCCGCATGCGAGCCGGAATCAGCCCGCGACGCCGTGAGTTATGCGCTGCGGCTCGGAGCTGGCGCGATTGAATATATAAAACCCTCATATTTGTTAACGTTATTACATCCATTTGTGTTGATATGACAGCAAACGCATGCTGAGCAGTTCGGGGGGCGTGGTTGATTTTACATAAAGCGTTTGGTTGGAAGCTCGACTCCGCTCATTTTCGCGGCTCCTCCTCTGGCTCCATCAGACAATCCTTCTGCGCATGTCTGGCTCCAATTTCAGCAGTCTTTTGCGACAGTTTGTGCCCATCAAGCAGGCGTTTTGCCCTCAAGGCGTTCAATGGGAAAAGGGGCTGTCGCGTCGTCCATATTTTTTACAGTCATTGGATGGAATACACACAGTTTTTAATGCAACTTCAAGTCTTTTTGGATATCAAGCACCGCACAGATGGATTTTCTTGTGTTGTTTTCTTCGGTTCCTCTTAACTTTGGTCATTTTTGGGTTGTTGATTGTTTTTAGAGACCATATTTAGGGTTTCTCCAGAGTTGTTTGATTAGATTCAAGTCTGACGTTCTGCTGATTTCGTTTTACCTTGTCAGGTTGTCCTACTTCCCATGTATAAACTATGTAGCATGTCTTGATGGCGGAATTTATTACCCTTAAGATTGTGCTACAAGCCCAAATTTTGAAGTGATGTGATGCTGTAATGTATACAAATATACAATATATACATATACAGTCACAATTATTCGCCCCCTGTATATTTTTGTCCGTAATTTCTGTTTAATATTTGACTAGATATTCTTCAAGACACTAGTGTTCAGCTTAAAGTGACATTTAAAGGCTTAACTAGGGTAATTAGGGTAAAGTTAGGGTAATTAGGCAAGTCATTGTATAACAGTGGTTTGTTCTGGAGACAATCCAACACTAATATTGCTGAAGGGGGCTAATAATATTGACCTTAACATGGGTTAAAAACAATTAAGATTAACAAATATGTCTGCTGTGTTGCATTACAGATCATGTTTGACAATCGTGCACACAGCGGACAGATCAAGATCTCTCTCAGCAGCGGCGTGCAGATAAACGTCTGTAAGGACTGGAACATTTCTGGCTCAAGTAAGTTGAGTAATTTGTGTGATACAGAACAACTGACTACAGACAAACAGACAAACATTTGCTTTCTACCATCAGCAGTTGTCACATTTGACATTCGATGATGTTGAACAGGTTTTAGGAATTTCTCAGTCTCTGATATTTCTTCTAATGGACAAAGTCTTATTTGTTTTATTTGGGCTAGAATAAAAGCAGTTCCTATCTGTTTTAAAGCCATTTTAAGGTCACTATTATTAGCCCCCTTAAGCAATATAATTTTGGATTGTCTACAGAACAAACCACTGTTATACAATGACTTGCCTAACTTTACCCTAATTAGCCTAGTGAAGCCTTTACATGTCACTTTAAGCTGAATACAATTTTTTTTTTGGTAAAATAAAAGAATAAACAAACAAAAATGGTGGCACAAATGGGAAATGGTGCCACAAAACCAGCCGTTTTTTTATAATAAACAAATCTGAAAAATAGTCACACACTGTGCTATCCGCTAGGGGGCAGTACAATCACTAGAAGGGATACAGCTGCGGCAGGAAGTTAGTAAGAATTGTTTATATTATTCGTTAAATTACCCATTAACTGTATTTTATTACGTCTACCTTAAACTTAACCTTCACAATAGTATAAAAACAGCAATTATACAGATTATTATTCATAATCTTTAGTAAACTACTCATTAGTTGTATTTTATTAACGTCTACCCCTAAACCCAGCCCTCACAGTAATTATTCATTGTTTTACAGTGTCACAAAATTATGTTATAAAATCCCTGCTGAAAAATCCAGCTTAAACCAGCCTATGCTGGTTGGCTGGTTTTAGCTGGTGGACCAGCCTGGTTTTAGAGGGGTTTTGGCCATTTTTTGGCTGGTTTCCAGTTATTTCCATCCTGTTCTTAGCTGGTCAGGCTGGAAAATGACCAGGTAAATCCAGCTAAAACCAGCGTGACCAGCCTGGTTTAAGCTGGACATAGCTGGTTTTGGCTGGGCTCTCAGCCTGGCTAGGCTGGTCAAGCTGGTTTTAGCTGGTCAACTCGCAGCCTGACCAGCTAAGACCAGGCTGGAAATGGCTGGAAACCAGCCTGGAAGTGGCCAAAACCCCTCTAAAACCAGCCTGGTCGACCAGCTAAAACCAGCCAACCAGCCTAGGCTGGTTTAAGCTGGATTTTTCAGCAGGGATTTTATAACATAATTTTGTGACACTGTAAAACAATGAATAATTACTGTGAGGGCTGGGTTTAGGGGTAGACGTTAATAAAATACAAATAATGAGTAGTATCCGCAGCTGTATCCCTTCTAGACTTTACCGCCAAACAGTCAAATATAAAAAAATGACGACACACTGGGTGAATTTATTCACCGATTCATCAATGCTTATTCATGCAGCCAGCGACTAACTAATGTGTGTGTTCTGGTGACAGTCGACTGTGAAGTGTGTCTCTCTCTGTGTGTGTGTGTGTGTGTGTGTGTGTGTGTGTGTGTTTGCTCCAGCAGACAGCCACTTTGCGCTGATTGTGGTGTTTGACTGTTTGATCATCTGCTTCTGTCTGCTGTCACTCATCCTCTGCACGCGCTCAGTCCACACAGGATTTCTCCTACAGACTGTACGTATGCAAGCAGATCTCACATATGGAGGCAGATCAGTCTCAAAAATACATCTACAAAATATACCTTAGCACAATAACTAACAAAGCACAGCCCCAACAATTTACAAAATCCAGTTCGTAAGTTCAAAACACCATTTATAATATACACAAATCCAATTAATTTGGTGAAAATATTTATGATTTTTGCTTGTGAATTCACAAATGGTGTGTTGTGTTTATGAATTTTGTTTCGCATTTATTAAGTGTGAATTATGCTGTGTGTGTTTGACTTTTATTTTGTAAATGTATTATTTTTGACACTGATTTGACTCCATAGGTCAATCTTACTGTTTACATTTGCATCCATGCATTTTGCAGACGCAGCAACAAAGTTGAAATGCTCAACCTAGCACTCTTAATAAAAATAACCCAGAATTTTTTACAGTGACTCTGTCTGCACATGAGTGACACTCATAACAGTCATGTAAAAATAAAAACCAGAAACCCATGTAGAAAATAACCCAATAAAAGGATCCCGCAGCATTTGGGTTATAATAACCTAGGTTTTTTGTGTACACTCTAAAAAAACATCCCGAGTTATTATTATTATTATTCTTTACCTAAATGCTGCCATGAACCATAAATGCTGGTTGAATTGAAAAAATTAACCCAACATTGGGTTTGTCTATATTTGACCAAACATGAGGTTATGACAGCATTTGTGTTTTAAAAAAATAACCCAATATTTTTTAGAGTGTACACTAAAAAGCTGCTGGGTTATTTTTAACCCCAAATGTAGGTTCATCTTGCTGGGTCAATTTATTGACGTGTTTTTAAATCCATGCGCAGGGTCACTCTGACAAATACTGGGTTGTTTTTACCCAGAATTCTTTAACTATTGTATTTTATTCTCTTCACAGCACTACAAGAAAACAATTAGAGGCTTTTTCACTGTAAAATGCTGGGTTGTTGTAACCCAAAGTCAAAAATGGTCAAACCCAACTGTTGTGTTATGAAAGTGTCATTTAAATTTAATTGAACAAATTAACCCAACATTAAGTTAACATATATTTGACCCAACACTAATGATAAACCAGCATTTCTCCGAGTGTAGAAATGTGACACATTGCTCAACCCAGCAGTCTGAGTGAAAATAACCCAGTGTTTTCAGAGTGACTCTGTCTGCACATCAGCAAACCCCATAAAAACCCATTAAGCCATGTCAAAATAACCCAATAAAATGACCCAGCAGCATTTGGGTTATAACAATAACCTTGTGTGCACTTTAAAAAATGCTGGGTTATTTGTATTATTATTTTTTAGCTAAATGCTGGCATAACCGAATGCTTGATTGAATATAAATAAACAGCCCATTTGGGTTAAAAAGTGTCATTTGAATTTCATTAAAAGAATGAACCCAACATTGGGTTCGTCTATATTTGACCAAACATGAGGTTATGCAACACAATCTCACGGCAATTCGTAACTTTTTGATTTAGTGGCTAATTTGTATGAATTCGTACGATCTAATTCATACAATTTAGTACGATTCGCTCATCCCCCAATGACGGTTGGGTTTAGGGGTGGGGTTAGGTGCCACGCCTCCTTTTTAAAATCGTACAATTTCGTACGACTGAACTCATACGAATCAGCCACTAAACTGGCAAAACGTAAAATACTTATGTTTTCTCGGTTATGACAGCATTTGGGTAAAAAAAAAATACCCAGCATTAATTAGGGTGTACACTATAAAGCTGCTGGGTGGATTTTAACCCGAAATCGAAATGCGGGTTCATCTTGCTCGGTCAATTAATTGACATATTTTTTTATCCATGCGCAGGCTCACTCTGACAAATACTGGGCTGCTTTGACCCAGAATGCTTTAACTAGTGTATTCTCTTCACAGCACTACAAGAAAACAATTAGAGGCTTTTTCACTGTAAAATGCTGGGTTGTTGTAACCCAAAGTCAAAAATGGTCAAACCCAACTGTTGTGTTATGAAAGTGTCACTTAAATTCAATTGAACAAATTAACCCAACATTAAGTTTACATATATTTGACCCAACGCTAATGATAAACCAGCATTTCTCCAAGTGTAGAAATGTGACACATTTAAACTGCTCAACCCAGCAGTCTGAGTGAAAATAACCCAGTGTTTTCAGAGTGACTCTGCCTGCACATCAGCAAACCCCATAAAAACCCATTAAGCCATGTCAAAATAACCCAATAAAATGACCCAGCAGCATTTGGGTTATGACAATAACCTTGTGTGCACTTTAAAAAATGCTGGGTTATTTTTATAATTATATTTAGCTAAATGCTGGCATAATCTAGTCTTTGGTTGAATATAAACAATCAATTTGGGTGAAAAAGTGTCATTGAATTTCATTAAAAGAATGAACCCAACATGGGGTTTGTCTATATTTGACCAAACATGAGGTTATGCAACACAATCTCACGGCAATTCGTAACTTTTT